TTAAACATTTTCTAATGGTGGTGTGCCTCGTGATTTTTTTCATGAAAAAAGTGTGCCTTTGCACAAAAAAGGTTGAAAAACACTGAACTAGAAGATTCACTATTTTGATTAATCAGCTGAAATGTACAGTTATGTCAATCCCTCAAACACGCAATATTAATTTGACTGTTTTGCTGTCATCTCTTCTCAGCTCCGGGTCGTCTCCCAAGATGTGAGCCTCAACCCTAGAAACCTGGAAGAGCTGTATGAATTATTCAAGGTACCCTTGGCCTCTGCAAAAGATTTCCCCTGTCTATTTCACAGTTATGGCCTCTGACAGAGCCATGGTCAAGCCAGTTGATCTTGGAAGGAAGTTCTTCCACTGAATCGTTCAGCTGCTATGGCAAGAAAGCCGAGGGCCTTCACATTAAGATGAGGAGGCCACGTTCCACATCCACCATCAGCCACGGACATTCAGTGGATGACTTGGCCAGTCTTTCTGCTTCACCCCCAAATCTCTCACAGCAGCTGCTGTGATGAAGATGAAAGAGATCTTCAGATTGCATAATATTTCTAGACGGAGGTTAAGGTTATGAGCTTTAATAGCCAACGACTTCCAACTTTAGCACTGGATAATTCTATGGGAAAACTACTTGATGTTCCCCGTGTGATTTGATGACCTTTTGCTATCATTTATTGTTTCTGGCCAGAAAGAACATTTTCTCTCCTGTTACTGGAAACCGAATAGTCCCGCTCTAAAGCACCACGATGCCAGCCTGCCCTACCTGGACCAATATCGGATCGACTGCCAGCAGTTCCGAACCTTGTACCACCTCTTGAGTCCCTGGGCACACTGTGCCAACCGAGATTCCTTGGCCCTGTGGACCTTCCGGCTGCTGGACGAGAACGTGGACGGCCTGATCAACTTCAAAGAATTCTCATCTGTTTGGGGTACGGTCCTCAGTAACATCCCAAGCTAAGATATCCGAAGATTTGGCCTTGGATAAGGTTCCCTCCCTAGCTGGGATCTGACTGGTTTAAATCAACCCACTGACTCTGGAGCCAGTTTTCAATTATTCCCCGATAATTGAATTCCCAGCATATAAGAAAGATGTTTAGACTCTTTAAAAAAAAGTGCAGAGAAGAGCAAGAAAAATGATTAGGAGGCTGGAAGCTGAAACATACATTGAACAGTTGCAAGAACTGGGCATGGCTAGTCTAGTGAAGAGGGATGTGGTGCGTCAGTGGCTAAGACAATGAGCTTGTCGATCAGAAAGGTTGGCAGTTCGGCGATGAGCTTGTCAATCAGAAAGGTTGGCGGTTCGAATCCTTAACGCCATGTAGCGGAATGAGCTCCCGTGACTTGTCCCAGCTTCTGCCAGCCTAGCAGTTCGAAAGCACATAAAAATGCAAGTAGAAAAACAGGAGCCACCTTTGGTGGGAAGGGAACAGCATTCCGTGCGCCTTCGGGAGTTGATTCATGCCGGCCACATGACCACGGAGACGTCTTCGGACAGCACTGGCTCTTCAGCTTTGAAACAGAGATGAGCTCTGCCCCCTAGAGTCGGGAACGACTAGCACACATGTGCGAGGGGAACCTTTACCTATTCCTAGTCTAGCAAAGAGAAGGACGAGCGGGTGGGATGATAGCAGTCTTCTAATACCTAAGGGGCTTCCACAAATAAGGGATCAACCTTATTCTCCAAAGCACCTGAAGGCAGGACAAGAAGCAGTGGAGGGGAAATGAGATTTTTTTTTTTTGAGAAAATGTTTTATTGTTTTAGTTAAACAAAAAAACAAAACAAAACCATCTTTCGTTACATCTTGTTGAAAGCGTATTGATTGGTTAGGAATATATTCTGTGTGTTTCTTCCACAGTCCTTACATATGCTTCATTCAAATCAGGTTGTACATTTTAAGTCAAGAAAGAAAAGTTATGTATTTTACTATCCCTGTACCACAATTCTCATTTGGTTACCATTGTTTAAACATGTTTTTAACTAGAATCATTCGAGACACAACCACCTACTGGCGTTCATTTGCAATTTCAATAGATCTCCAATAACATTGCACCTTTATA